TAGGCTCTAGAGAGAAATCAGCTTTTCAAGTGTCTGCAGAAAGAAATGGCAGGGCAAGCAGGCACCCTGAGCAGAATAGGCAAGTGGCTTGAGCACCCTAGGAGCAATGAGAGAAGTGGAGTACGTCCAACTGGTTCTCATTCCTTGTCTTTCTCATGGCTCTATGACCCATTTTGGCAGCCAGCCTCTCCAACAGGTCTCATCAGCCTTCCATTTGAGGACAGGAAGGGATCTATGAAGGTGCTCCAGCCACAGGTCTTAACAACACTTTTAACTTCTTACCTGGCTTCATGAGGTAACCTCTACCGACTCATAAGTTGCTCAAAATACACTGAGTTTCCATGTTTTCCCTCTGCAGTTCCCAACAGCCATAGGAAAGCAGCAGAAGTGAAGCCCATGGTGCCCTACACAATAAAGGGTGAACATGCCTGAACAGCTCATGAACCAAGTTGAAAGTCAATCCAGTCAGCAGCACAGTGTGTTCAGCACGAGCTGGAACAAGCATAGTCAGTCAGCAGCAGCAGCGTGGTGCCTGCTGGTCTGCACAAACTGGGTGTCATGCTGCCTCCAAGAGCTGTTCCAGCACACAATGAATGCAAAGTCCTCTCAGGGAACCAGCAAGGACTCTAACAATGGCACTGGGAGGGATATGTTCTTCTAGTGGAAAGGCAATGGCAACTATTAAACAAAGGGAACACTGGGAACTTTTACCCACCATCACGTTGCGTTTCCCCACCTGGCCATTCCCCAAGTACCCAAGTCCTCAGATTAGCACCTTAATGAGCTTGCTAGATCCACTTAGCAAACATCCTCAGAGCTCTCCTTTTCTTCTCGACAGACAGATCCCCAAAAGATCCTCAGTGCATCAAATGCAGCTTTAAAAGACCCAAAGGATGAAAGATTGCAGGCCAACTGGTAACAAACATGAAGCCCAGTAGAGATCCTGGGTAGAAATTCCAGCCTAATGCAGAGCAAGTTCCATTCCCCGATGGGACAAACCCAGCTAACCTCCCCACAACTGCACAGTGGTGGCCAAGGCTTCCCTAGGGCTGTGGAAAAGCAGCTACAATGGAGCTGCTGATTGTGAGAATCCCAGGACTGTGGTCTCCCAAGGCTACGGAGACTTTCATGGTCTTGGCTTTTGATTTCCTTCCCAAGAGAAGAATGAAATTCAAACCACTCTCGGCTAGTTGTTAGCATCAGCATAGACTTCTGAAAGTGTGGTCAGATCTGCCTCTTCCAAGTCCCTCCAAAACCCTGATTCCACTTTTGCCTTTCATGAGTTGCTCCTCCCCCACCCCCAACTGATTTCCTCAGTGTTGCTTTGACTATGGGGTAAAAGGAGGAGTGATGAACTGCAAGAGCAACTGTTTCCACTTAGTGCAGGCACAGAGGGCTTCAATTGAGAGTCAGATGCTTGCACTGTAAAACCTTCTGCAACTGTGGCATCAGACAGGTCAGATGTGTGGACTTGGTAATCCAGGATGCCACCTCTAGTGTAACCAGCTCTACAGAAAGGCACTAAATCCTCATTGGTAGGTAGCAATATGACAATGGTTTGGGCAGTGAGAATTTTTTCCTACAGTCTCTTTTGAGATCAGAAGAATTTGGCAGTTTAAATCAAATCCTTACCAAAAAGGGAAAAAAATCCAACTGGCAGTATTTTGCATAGCAAGACTGAAAATGCCATCCTGAAGCAAGCCATGCAGTTGATAGGATTAAAAAGTCCCAGCAGAAGCACAAAGAACAATAAGATTTTTCCCATACATGGTGACTTTCAGCCAAATATCTCAAAATACTTCACAGACTTCAGGGCTGATTCTTTGTCCCATGACGAGCCAGCAAAAGTGGCTGAGATATAAAAAAGAGTGGAGGAACCAGATCAGTATGTTAATCAAACCAAAGGACCACCTGTGGTCAGCCTAGTAGCAGGTAACAGTGTGCTGTTGATGTCAGCTAGTAACTATTTCTTTTGCTGAAGTTGTAAGGATCTGCACTGTGGCGTTGAAGGTTTCTTCCCAAGCATCATGAACCAGCCTTGATTCTGGCTTTGGGAAACCTTACAGATGAGCTTTTGCACAAACTAACCTCTTCTACAGCTAATCACCATTGCCCAGTGAAAAGCTTGTGAGAGCAAAGAGGTGATGGTCTGCCCATTTATTCAGTTCTGCAGCTACAGAAGGAAAGATTACTAACTCTACCATCACAGATGTACCATGGAGAGCAAACATGGACTCTTATCTTTGTCAATTATATCCAGGATATTTCTGAAAGACCTGTGTGAGCCAGCCCAAGGATCAGGATTTGCAGGAATCCATGACCCAGACCTTCCAGCTGTTTTCCAATAAACATTTATAAGTCACAAAACCTGAACTTCCAAGGAGACATCATGTTCCACTACATCCAGCACTATTAATTCTTGTGGTGTGGCAAACGGAGAATCCAAGCCCTTCTATTTAACCTCCATCACTAAGATGCGGGTTATTAATGAGGATCTTTCAGGATGGTTTTAGAGGGGTGGAGGCAAGGTGTAAGTCAGGTCCAATGAAAGTTTCACCTGAAGGCAGAAAGCATTGAGAAGAATCTGGGTCTAGCTTTCATGGAGCCTTTGGTGAGGATTGGTTTTATTTCCAAGTGATTGAATCAGTGCAAATTAAAACACTTCCTGCCCTTTGTCTTGAGCTTCTGTTCAGACCAGTGCTCTGTTCTGGGTGGATATAAATGCAGCAAAATCTTTGGAGGATGCAAAACCAGCAAAGCGTGAACCCAACACAGATTTTGCACATACGGTTTCCTTATATACCATGCTGTCATTTTTCACCACTAAAATCTCACTCAGGAAGATTTTTATGAAGCGCTATCTTTGTCGGAGATTTTTCCTTTGACTGTTGGCATCGGGAAGCAGTCTGCAATACGAAAAAGAGTGCGGCATGCTTGGTGAAGGAGGTAATAAACTTTTATTAGCCCAGCCGATAAAACTAGAAAAAAATAAGCCAGCTGAAACAGAAGCTGACAGACTTGAGGGAAATTTTGTGTGCCCAAAAGCCTGGATATTTTAATCTATCTGGACCAGTTGATCTAATAAAAGATATTGTCTCTCTTTACAAACTTTGACTTAGACCTCTGGACAATCACGCCCACAAGGTTGCTACCATAATGAAACAAAGACACATAAGTGGTGAGTAACCTTAGGACAAAGTGGTGAGTAACCTTAGGACAATTTGTAAGCAACGGTGTACTCAAAAATATCTGGAACAAGGAAACGCTGCAAGATTTTGGTACGGATCTGAACTTCAGGTGATTTCTAACTCTCATTTGGAGAGGCTGCTTAGCAACCTCACTCTGCTTGAACATCTTGTTTAAAATCTAATGAACACAGACTTCCTGGTGAGTTTTACAACGCTGTGTGTTTCCAGATAGGTGAGAAACAGTCCCACTGTTGTGGGACAGCACTACTGTCATGGTGCTTTCCACTCGTGATCCTCGCCGAATGCAGAATATTAGAAAACAACGCCATGCAAAGACACCAACTAGATATGTCCGACCTGTTAAAAATAATGGCTTAGGCTCAGGTTTCATTTTATTTACCTTGCACAAATTAATCAATGTCTGGAGACTGTATGGGCAAATAACAAAGTAATACCACCTTGGAGAGTTACCAGGCACCTCAGTCTAGCACTGATAGATGTGATAAATGGGATCAGTGAGATGGTTTCCATAAACTGTGTACTGCATCTTTAAAACAGCAGTACGAAGAGGCCAAGGCTAGGAAAACATTTACTGGTTTCAGCAGGGCTGAGACAGTCACACGTACATACGTTGCAGGGCTCTTCAAAGGTGCTCTGGGCACCGAGCCTCCTTTGGAAAGGATTATCTGGCTTTTAGTCACTGCAGAGATATTATTGCAGGAGGATTGTGCTGGGCAGCCAGCCCAAGTCCACCCTGCACCTTGCTGACTGCCAGAATGAGCAAATACTTCCGCTTTCATGCTATTCCCTCCCCTCTCCTTATACCTGTAACCTGTAAGAGGGCTGTGCCTGGAGCCAGCTGGAGCCTCTGGGGCAGCGGCAGGGCTGGGAGCTTGGAAAAAACCCGAGCAGGTGAATAGAAAACAAGCGACAAAGCACCGGAGCACAGCTAGGAGCCATCCGACAGCAACCCAAGACAAGGCAGGAGCTGAGCACAGGTCTCCTGAGATCGCTGAGCCGCTGCCTCCCTTCCTTCGCACTGCGGCTCGGGGGGAGATGAGCATTTCCTCGGAGCACAAGCAGCCCCTTCGGAAGCAGGTCACCAGCAGCCTGCAAACGGTGAGTGAAGCACGGGTCGGGGCACGGTTCCTTCCTGCCGGATCAGAGCCCTGGGCTACGTTACAGTACTTTTTCCCCTCGCCTGCTACTTTGAAGACACCAGCGCCTGCCAGATGCGTGACCAAGAGGGAGAATCTAGGTAAAAAGCTGTGTCTGACCCAATCCTCTTTGCCCCAGTTGGTTCTCAGAAGGGCCATGTCTCTTGCCAGGATCTGGCAACAGCAAGTAACCTAAGTGGTTCTTCTCCTTTGACAAGAGGTAGACTTAATTCGATGCTAACTTAAATTTGTCACACCCACAAATAAAAGACTTGTTTGGTTTTGTTTTAACCATTCTTAGAGTCTCTAATGATGCAAAAGTGGCCCCGAGTTTTGGATTTGCAGGACCATCAGCTGGGAGCAATAGCTTTTCTGAAGAAAAACTAGTGAGAATCACAATATAAGGAGAATAAAGAAAACTAGTGGGAGCCACAATGCAAGGAGTCACAATACACAAGAGGCAGAAATTAGGGAAGAGATCAGATGAAGTTTGTTCCTTCCCTCTCCTCTTTTATTACTAAATACTTTAGCAATTGGTATTAGTAACTGATTTGCCTTCTCTGTTTTAGCCACGCAGCCTCTCCGTCAGGTATAAAAGTCAGACCTGTCCGTCTTTTACTTGGGTCTTTTACTTGCTTTACTTCCAAAGCATCCCCAGCTGGCTAATTACAGAGCTGGGAATCAACCAGTCCTAGTAGACCCCCTCACCCAGGAGTCAGGCTGGTCCCAGACCAAAAACATAACTCAAGACCCGACCGCACATCACGTTAGTAGGGCTATTCTATTAGTGAAGAGTAAGTTTTCCATGGGTAAGAGTACCAAATGTCATGGAACATTTGACCTGCTGTCTGTAAAAGGAGTAAAGGCTCAGCAGCAGGAGAGATTCCTGTTCAGTGACCTCTGTTAAGGAGTGAAGCTGAGCTGCTCCTTACCATTTGGGAGGCTTTACTATAGAAACAGCTTTGGGCTGTGTTCTTTAGGAGGTGGAAATCAGCAGGTGCTCTCAGATAGGATCATTTGACGCTCCTCTGGCTCTGGTGTAGATGAGTGCTCTTGAGATGAAGCCGCTTACCCTAGAGTTACTGCAAAACAATATTCCAGCGGGGTCTAAATCTGATAGCTTGTGGCTCTTTAAAAGGGAAGCTCTCCCTCCTCTGCTCTGGCTTGTCTGTTCCTAGTCCCCTCATTTTGCCAGCTCTGGTGCTTGTTAAATCCTTCGTGAGCCAGTTCAGCTCACAGAAATGAAGCAGAGCCAGAGCTGGCACAAGGGGAGCGACAGAAGCATGTGGGTAGGTACAAGGATAGAAAGGGGAGAGGGCAGCAGGAGCTCCTCGCTTTTTTTGACGTGAGCTGTTAGAGCAGCTCACGTCATCTCATGGGTCTGTAGCTGCAAGGCACCGTGGGCTGGATCCAGCTAAGCGCTTAAGTACACGCTTCACTTTAAGCATGTGACTAGTAGCGCTGAAGCAGATCCTTGCATGACCGAATGCAAGAGCAGGTGAGCTCCTGGAAAAAGGGTTATTTATTGACTCACGCCTTCCCAATGGCAGGTGTGGTCCTCGGCAGGCATGTGACTCGCATTACAGCCGTGACGTGAGGGTGTGAGGGAAAATAACTGCCTCATTCCTTCCCTCTCCTTTTGCTGTACTGACCACTATAAAAACTGGCTGAGTGCAAACGGAGGCTGTTAAACTTTTTCTGCACCAAACAGTCAGGAAGGTCATCCCAAAGTGACGCAGCGTCCAGCCTTTCTGAGTATTCAGGCCCCTCCAAATTATTTCTGAGAGCAGTGGCTTTAAAGTGCAGTGTCCCACACAAACAAATCCAACCTGGAGGCTTTACGTTCTTTCTTAAGCTCATTTCAGTTGCACGAATTATTTTATTTTCTGTCTAAAGCTATCATACATTTTTAAGCTTGATAAGAAGCTGCTGTGCCTGACCACAGACATGCTGGATTTTAGTGTCTTAGTTCTGTGTTTATAGCTAATTCCCCAGAAAGGTGAGAGTCAATCCCGCACATTTCTAAAGTTTCAAAGAGCTTTAGTTCCGACTTTAAAGAGAAAACATTAATTTAGGTGAGAAGAATAGAGTTGCGCACACCTTTGAACTCTGTCTTATCCCGCTGCGTTGAAGCATCAGGAGTGTGAGAGCGCAGACCACTCTGAAAGGAGAGTGGTCCAGAGGACCACTTACGGGACCACTTGGTCCCATTTGCCTGGACTTAGGAGATCCACATTGAATCCTTCAGTCTGTTACTGACAACTTCCCAAGTGACCCTGGGCAAGTTACTTCTTGTCCCTCTTTCCCAATGGCAAAATGAAACTTTTCCACATCCTAAAGATGCGATGAAGGCTAATCCATTTAGAAACATCCAAACATCTGCCACTCTGGTTATGAGGGCCATATCCATATCCTGCATCTGCTTTTAGCAAGTAATGGCCTGCAGCAGACGGCTGAATGTTCCCATCTGTCAACCAAGCGATGGGGACTCACACAGCTGGTCATGCTGCCGTTCCAATTTCCAACTGCAGTTAGCATTTTTCCCTTTCCCCTGATCCTTCCATACTGACTGCCTGAGATAGGTAATGCGTGTTATTTCTGTCCCTTTGTGATAGTTGCAGTTGTCACCAATAGTGGAGTTAAATGTTGGTGGGGAGATGTACACGACAACGCTGAGCACCTTAAAGAAACACCCCGGCTCCAAGCTGGCAGAGATGTTCACCGGCCAGCCCAAACTGAGGACTGACTCAGAAGGGAGGTTCTTCATTGACAGGCCGGGGACCTATTTCAAATATATCCTGGAGTATCTGCGTAGTAACCAAGTGCCCACGCAGTGCATCCAGGACGTGTACAAGGAGGCGTTGTTCTACGACATTGAACCTCTCATCAAGCAACTAGAAGACTCCCCTCAGATCTTTGGGGAGCTAGTGGCAAGGAAGCAATTTCTGGCCCGCGTGCCCAGTTACAGTGAGAACATCGAGCTGATGATCCGCATCGCGAGGGCAGAAGCGGTCGCTTCCCGCCGGTCCAGCGTCATCGTGTGCGTTGTCAGAACTGAGGAGGATGCTGCCAGATGTCAGGATGCCTTGAACAGCTTGGACATGGACAAAAAATCCGTGGTGAAATTTGGCCCCTGGAAGGCAACGCCAAGTATTTCTGATCTGCTGGACTGCATTCAAATGGACGTCGAATCCAAAGGGTACAACATATCCTTTCAGCCCCATGTTGCAGAAAAAGGGTTTCGCTTCAAATCCTATGACTACTTCTACAAGTTCCTGTTCACCTGGTGGTAGCAAAGTGCCACCATTGACGGAGAACGGAAAAAAGCAATTATTCAAACAAATTGACTTGGATTGTGGAGACCAAGCCACGGACTACCGGAAAGACAGGAAGAAACGGATGAGCCAGTGAAAGGATCTCCTTTGACATTTCTTGCGAAATTAAACAGCACTTACGAGCCACTGTTTTGTTAGGTATTAGAGGATAACTGTGCATTTTAAAAGATAATGTGTTTAGAAATGTGGTACGACCTTTTCCAAAACGCTTATTCCCTTCATGCCTTTCAGTCACTTTTACTGACTACACTGAGAAGTAACAGGCCTTGCAGAGGCAGTCCAGCCAGGAGGAAAAGGATGAATTTTATTCTATTTTATATGTTGCTGACTATTGGATAAGTTCAGAGGACCAGGCTCTGTGTTTCATTCCTCATTGTTTCTCATATATTGCCAGGCATGATCTTTTCTGGTGGAAAAAAAGGTCTCCTGCAATTCCCAGTGGCGTCAGTGAAATTAATTAATTAATTAATTCATGCCAACTTAAATTTGGATCTTCAACCAAAAGCCAAAAGCTCTGGTTCGCGTTCTTTCCCGTACCAGATCCTAGGTAAAAAGGGATTTTGGTGTCCCGTTCTCTCCTCTTGTTCCTCCAGCAGACAGCCTACTCTCTAGCCAATGTATTTATTGCCGTTATTTATTATTTATTCTGAAGTGAAAACAGAGAAGCCCAGCTGCCGTGCAGGATCAACACAAGGTAAAAGTACTGCTACTAATCCAAGGAGTTTATAAACTGATGACACACGCTCCTCCCTCATGCCACACTATTCGCTCTTTCCCTTGTGACAGCTATTATTATTCTTTCGTTTTTATTTTATTTTATTTTTTTAGTATAAGCTTCTGCGAGAATAAGGACAACTCGCAGTGATTTGACTGGAAGGGAGGACGGCTGAAGGAAAACCCTGAGGCCTCGGCGGCGACGTCGCCTTGCCGGACGCTGGATCGGGTTCTACGTCGTGTTTTTGAAACTTTTAATATTCCAGTTTGTTTTTTGGGCTGGAGGTGGCTGTCAGCGTGTTTTCCAGTCGCTCTGGGGATACCTGAAAACCGTTCCGGCTCGTCTGGATTACGGCTGTGTTTCCTTTTCTTCTCAAAACGCGGATTTCTTCCAGCTAAGGGCGCTAACCCCCGGGTTGCTAAATAAACGTACCTCAAAAGCTCTTTGAATGACGCAGAAGTGCTTTATTTACGGGCCTCTTC